AAAGAGGCAAGTGAAAGACCCAAGAAGTAAAAATTAATCATGCTTAAATATAACATTTGTTGTCTTGTATGACAAGAAACAAAACAGAATATTGCTTTGGTTCTAAAAAGTCATGACATGACATTTTCGTCACAGTTTTTAAAATTTTTGTGCTGGTTGTAATCATTGTGAATTCTGGAAATGTGCTAAAGATGAGCAGGCTGTGGTTTTGTGTTCAATTCTTACTTCCTGTAGTAAGTGACTTGGCCATTCTTGAAGTCAAATTTATGCATGAGGGCCTGTCCGTCAAAGAGGTGATAGAAGGGTTCATCTCCAACCTCAAAAAGTCCAGGTCCTAAACGGAGAAGGCTTCCCTTCAGAAATGAAGGAATTCTACCTGCAAAATTTTTAAGAAAATACATTTTTCAATCACATGGTTAGAAAATACACTAAAAAATCACAAATTTGCACAAACCTGTGACTGTTGCTGGCAGAGGTTCAGCAAGTTCCTCACATGTCTCAAAGATTTTCTTGTAGCTACCCGCTGGATGTTCAAATCTGTTACCAAACAGTAATGGCACAAATAAGCATGTTGAGATGAAGTTATATGAGGAATATGTGGCATTGCATATAAGGTTTAAACAATTTCATGCCGAGCAGTTTGTACTGTTGAGCCTATCAATAATCTGTTGCAAACAGACAAAATATCCACATTAGAAAATACAGAAATAATAGAAATGAAAAACAAGGCTTGCCCTCCTTTTGCGATGTACAGTATTTCACTTCATCAAAAACTCACCTGCTCACCATGTTTTCCTCCTGCGTAAGTAACACACAAGTGCAAACTTTTGAAAACTGTGGGTCACTTCTGAGCTGGAAGCTTCTGACCGTCCAGTGGATTTGGAGTATTTATTTTCCCTGCCAACGTCACGATTGCTGCACTGTTTTGTAAATCTTTCCCCTGGCCAATCATGTCACACCGTGAACAAAAAACCTTTTGTCTCTATATCCCTCTGATGGATAACTTGAGGCCTGACCCCTCTGGAAACGGATTTACTGAGAAAGATGTGTATTGCAGTAAACAATGCTTGGCAAAACTGTTGCAATGGTGCATGTGATTTTATTTTTGTCATCCTCAATAACAAAGGATGTGTGAGCTTCTGTGTTAAGACATTTTGCAAGATCTTTTTTTAAATCTTTTTGTATTGCTGCAGTCAGTCTGGAGAACAGTTTAAAAACAGAACTGAAAGTGGAGCGATATATGGTCTTTGTAATTAACAACTAAAACCTCTATTAGCTGAAATCTCTAATTGCATGTGGGAGAAGTATATTCAGATTAAATAAGAAAAATAGTTTTATGTATTTAATCATTTCAGATTAAATAGTTGGTACACATGCTAAAATAAGACATGAAATAATACTACATTTACTGTGTCAGGAACAGTGAAGGGTTTAAAACATAATCAGGTTATGAAGTACCATGACTGTTATACATAGTGCTAATAAGATAAAAACGTGCACATTAGTTCTTTGGTTTTCTTTAGCAATACAGGACCTCTGTTCAGGATAATCCAGGTGAAGGGATTAGACATAAAACAGAGTCTGTATTGTTCCACCAAGGAACAAAAAAAAGCACCATGAGAAAACCACATTTCACCAGCCACAGTGCTGTGACAGTGCTGTGACGTGGCTTGCGTGCAATAAGTCACATGCCATTCAATTGAAATAGTTTGGACAACAAGGTTGCCTCATTTTACTAAAAACAGTCCAGGGCCAAACCATATTTCCCAGATTTATTCTACAGTACCAAGCAGAAGTATTCACATCTCTTTTCTAGCATGCACACCCTGGGGCCATTACTTTGTTTCCCTGGAATTTTGCAAGGTTTATTTTTCAGTTGTTTTGATATTGTTTTGTCTCTACCATTTTAAAACTATCTTAAATGGCAATTTTTCTTTGTAAAATGACTTAAGGTCAGGCAATTGGAAAAGAGAGAATTTGTTCACTGAAAATTTGTTTCACTTGTAAGCATCAGTTTTTGTGATCTTGTTTTAAATTTCTCAAATATCTTTGATCTGTCTGGTGACAGACCTTGACATAGAAGCCATATTTGTACTGAAACTAAACTGATGTCAATATTTACTAATGTGCTGTCTTCTCAAAGCAATTTTAATGGTTTATTTTTAATTGGGCATCCTAAAGTAAAACGGGCAAAATAAATATGGTTGCAGTAAATACTGATATCTATCTATCTATCTATCTATCTATCTATCTATCTATCTATCTATATATATATATATATATATATATAATACCAACTGAGCCCTTAATGACTGTTGGTCATTAAGGGCGATTTATTTATCTCTTGTGCAATATTCATCTTATCCGCGCCACGATGTCTATTTACATAATTTGATTGAATCAAGTTAACAGAAAAGAAACGAAAGAAAGAAATGAGATTACAATGTGTCTATGTATTTACGTCCCTTCCTTTTACGCATGCGCAAAACATTCAGGCACTATCCAATATGGCCGCGACGTCTAGTAGTTGTTTCTTCTTTTAGTTGGAATCTAATCTTTGTTCTGCTAGTTATTTGCAAACAACCCGATTTTAATGCGATACGAATAGGCGCTGCAGTGATTTTTTTCCGCGTGTGTCTATTTTTTTGTTGTTGAAAAAACGGTACTTGTGTCGAAAATGAGTTACACGACGCGGGTGGTTCAGGTGACCAATGTGTCGCCAAGCACAACGTCGGAACAGATGAGGACATTGTTTGGTTTTCTGGGAACCATCGAGGAACTAAAGCTGTTTCCGCCAGAGTGAGTTGACTACTTCGCTTTTTATTTAAAATTTTAAGACTAATAAACTGCAAGTACATTTAACTGGGGTTCTAAAAGCTGTAAAAGTCTATTTTTGTTTAACGGAAATGTAGGCCCCACGCTCACCAGAGCACACCCCTGAAGCTAATGCTAGCTTCCGAATTAGCAAGGTTGTTTCACTGTCTTTTTAAATCCCGAGCAACCTTAAATCCGCTTTCAAAACTATAAATAAAACTGAGTATAAATTGCAAAAACAAACAAGCTAAAGAAAAACATAGGTTGATCTTTGAAACATATCTCTCAATTTGCGGGGAAAAAAAACCCCACTTGCTTTGTAAAAACTACAAAATTTAGGCTGGTCATGACTTGATGGATTACTTAAACAAGATTGCATAGAGATTTTTTTCTAGCATTTTAGCTCATCAACCGTGAAACACATTGTGCTTTAAAAAAAAAAAAAAAAAAAAAACTATTTAATGCAACAACAATAACAGCTGTTGTTGTATTAAAGCTGCATCAGATCAGGTTAATTTAAGACCCAGAACATCTAGTCTCATCTATAATTGTGGCTTACAACTCTCAACTTTCTTGTGATGTACTTAACATTTGTGAAAATACTCTTTTGTGGAATAAACATTTCCCCCCTCAATTTAGATGGTTTTCATTTAATAAACTGAAACATCACCTCTGTTTAAACCTACAGTGCTTTATAATAAACACCATAGACTCTTAACTCAGACTGTGATTTTCAAAACCTTTTTTATGTGTACAAGTCAGTCTACTGTAAGAAATACACTGAGTTGATGAAGAGGTCTGTTATGCAATTCCAATGTCTCAGCAATGTCCCCCTCAGTTACAAGATGATTCATCTAATGGTGGTCATCCATAACTATATACCCTGTCGTCTAATAATTATACAATTTGAGATCATTTTTAATGTATTTTTTTTTTCTAAATTCTTCATTTGCAGTGATTCCCCTATGCCAGTGACATCCCGGGTCTGCTTTGTGAAGTTCCAGGAGCCAGAGTCTGTGGGAGTGTCTCAGCATCTCACCAATACGGTTTTTGTGGATAGAGCTTTGATCGTGGTCCCGTTTGCTGAAGGTTTGTCTTGTCATTCTGCTCATGCTCCTTTTGAATGAATGTCATTATTTGTGAAAAGTAACAATGTTACCAAGTTAAATGGATCCTATTTCCTCAGCTCAACTTAACGTGTCTTATTTATATATAATTTTAAGGAAGATTGATTGAAACAGAAACTCCAGGTTCTTCTGGTTAGTAAAACGACGTGTAAAGCAGATTTTATGTATTTTCTTAAATCAAGAGAGGTAACACCACAATGCAGTTGTACTTGCTTTTTGTGGATTATATCTCTGGCTTATCTTTTCTTTTTTCAGTTTGTCTAGCTTTAACAGGTGGTGCTTGTACAAAGAAAAATGATGTAATGTAGCAAAATCTGCTTTACACACAAGAACATCCCCCAGCAGCAGGCTGTGCAGACTCCTCAGAGTTCTGAAATAAAGTAGAAAAAAAACACATTGCCATATGTACATTTTCCCCCATATTGGACTATCCACTGTTAAATCTCTCTCTGTTATTTGTGTGTGTGTATGTGTGTGTGTGTATGTGTGGTTTTTGTAGTGAAGAAGGCAAAAGCAGCTCCCTCGTTGATGGTCGTCTGCCTGCCAACAGGGAATTGTAGACATTTGCAAAGGCCAGCAAGCATTCAAGCCCCAACCCCTATTTTGTCCTCTATTCTGTCTCTGCCTGGACTTTCTCTTTCCCTCTTTTTTTTCTTATTTTAAGTGGTTTAAAGTATAAAGATCAGATGTGAATTACTTGTTAGAGGCATTGCTTAACATGCAATGTATTCAACCTCTTAAAGGGCTGCTTGGCCATGCATTATATTGGTGCAAGAGAGTCGTACTCTTAATGTCAATTTTCTGGAAGACAGAGCTAAAAACAAAGGTGTGTTAATTCACTGCTGCGAAAGAAATCAATACTTTTAATCAAAACCATTGTTTTAAATGTTTAACAAAACCCAAATATGTCAGTGTACACAAATATATATATATATATATATATATATATATATATATATATATATATATATATATATATATATATATATATATATATATATATATATATATATATATATATATATATATATACCGGTTTATTTTTTTTCAGTTAGAGATGCACCAATGAGGTTTATGGCTAATTTGTTGAATATAGCTATAAACTTTCAAAATTAGTTTGATCTTTTTCTGGTTTTGCTTTTTTAAATAACTGTTCAGTTTTTCTGTCTTGTCTTGCGATAAGACATTTATATTAGAAGCTGCAACACACAAGGTTTGAGGGCATTAGCTTTCTTTTTACTCAGACAAAATGCTCAGAGTTATTTTAATTTCTCTTTTGCATTTTATATTAGAAATCAGCACGATGGGTTACGTTCGCATTATTAACTGTACATGGTGCACTCAGCATTTAATTTCCTGGAGAATTTAACTCAGTCATCTAAAACGTCAATAAGTTTAAAACTAAATATTTAGATACAGTTTTTTTTTTATTGAACAAAGACGTTCAGCTTCCTTGGTACTTTTTTAAGTACATTTGGTTCTGAATGATGTTCTGTTTTTCTGATTCAGAAATGTGTGTCATTACCTTTTTAACCCTGAAAGTGAAATAGCTAAGTAAAAGAGTATCTCACTGTGTTGTAGTCTGACTGAACAGCAAACATGACTCTGCAGAAAACCATTTGTCAACTACATCCACTTCCTTTGATTTTAATATCTGTCTAAAATATCTGTCAGCTTTAAGTGTATTACCCAGAGTAAAACGTCCATATTGCAGATTGTAGAAGCAGTCAGGTATGAAACATGCTAGAGATTACATGAAGCACGTTCAGAAAAAGATCATGTGTTTTTAGTTTCTTACCTGCAGGTCAACATATAAATTGTCTGATTTTGGTCACCAGCCAGTTTCTCTGTACATCTCTAGATTTATCAAACTTTGCTAAAACAGCATATGTACAAGATGCTTCAGGAAATAAAAATATTCTACATGAACTGAGTATTTTAGCATTATTTGTGGCTGAGGGACAATTGAATATATACACATTCATGCTTAAAAAGTTGACCTTGAAAAGGCATTAGGTTTTTGGTTTTATTAGAACCAGGCATCTGAAACACCAAGGTGGCTTAAAATAACCCTATTCTTTCAGTGTGAGCTAAACCTGGACTTCAAAAAGGGTAATTCTTTTCATTTACTGGATGCCTGATGTCACTGATGATAAAACTCCTTGTTGTTAATTGTGTGAAATATCCACCCAACTTGACAATGCTGGTACAATATTCTCTTTTAACAGTGGTCTTTTTTTGTTTTGTTGTTGTGTTTTACAGTTCTTTTTCCTGGCTCAGCCAGTCCTGTATACCAGACCCTGCAGAAAATACCATCCAACAGTTTTGTGTCCTGCAGCAATTTCTCTCTCCAGTGTGCTCTTGTGTTTAAATGTTTTCCCTGTTGTGTGTCTGAATTTAGGTCATGTGATTTCTGTGAATAAGTTGCATTGGGAATAGGTTGAGACAAATGATAATGAGGTGTTTGGTAATCTGCGCAATATAAAACATAAAACTTAGAGGTGTTGTGTATTTCATGTTAAGCTGATAGCTTAAAAAAAAAAATTTAATCAAGACTCCATCCCCTGCCAAGGTGTGGTTAAGTGATGCAGTGTTGAGGTAAGGATTTTTAGCCTATGATGTAAAGCAGGCACGCTACCTACCCTGAATTTTATCATTTAGTCTAACCACTTAATCATTCTGAAATGTGTTTTTGGTAAGTAGACACTGATAGCTTTTTTTTTTTTTTCTTTTTTTAGTTTTCCTGCCAAATCCTTAAAATTCTCTCTGTTGTGTGTATCTCGATTTTTCTCTGTGTGCTTTTAGTAGCGAAGCCGCCAGCGTGAGTCGCTTGTTTCAGTAAGCATCTAAATGAAAATTGAGGGCACACCCAACTGGAGAAGCCGATGTGCTTGCTAACGTTTGGTTCATGACTTAAAAAACACATTCAGGTGATATATTCTTGGCAGTGTTCATTGGAATAGTGTGATTTATTCCAGCAATAGTTAAGTCACTGCAATGATTACGTTTTGAATTAGGGAACTCTGATCTGTAAGTGACCACTTTGTTGAACCTAATTTGAAGAAATGCAGTGAGAAGACTTCTTTTTTTTTTCTTTTTTTCCTTCAGAACGTCTTCTGTGAATTTTCCAAATGTGTAGACTTCCACACCTAATGCCTGTTTTTCATTTTGCTGTAGGATCTATTCCTGATGAGGCTAAGGCTTTGTCCCTTTTGGCCCCAGCAAATGCTGTTGCAGGGATCTTGCCAGGCGGAGGCCTTCTCCCAACACCGAATCCCCTCCCAAATCCAGCTGTAAGACTTCACATCTACAGACTTTAACTAGGACAACATGTACTTTGCTAGTGTGTTTACACCCCTTGACATTTTTCACATTATAACCACTGACTTTAATGTATTTTTGAAGTGTAATGTGTAATTGTTGAATGGTTTAAATGTTACTAAATGCACGTCTGAAAAAGTAGGATGTGTTTTAGCCGAAAAAATGGGTTTTTGTTCCATTAAATTACAATAAAATACATTGATGTTTGCGATGGCACTGTGACAAAATGTGAAAAGTGCAGAGAGGCATAAATACATTTTAACCAAAGGTTTGGCCTTTCTGTTCCACGTTTTAGATAAGTTATATTTCAGTATTCTTTTTGTTACCTAATTTGTAACTTTTAGTAGCAGTGTTAGAGCTGCTGGAAGGCCTGTGTTTTGCTACACATAGGTACAAATGCTATTTATTTCATTTTCTCAGCTTGGAGCCAACCCCTTTGGTCCTCCAACCATAGACCCAATGGCAGCGTTTGGATTTGCTGGACCCAATATGAACCCACAGGTGACAACTTTATGCCACTTAGTTCAGCTACTGTTTTCTTAAAAACACTTGAGATTTTGAAACTATCTTCTGTCTTCTTACAGGCTGCTGATCAGCTGCTAAAGATGATGACGGATCCAAAGTAAGTTTGCGAAGACATCAAAGTTAAATGAATGGAAACAATTTGGTGTAGCTACAGTGGTTAAGCGTAAGCTCTTTTCTCTGATTAGACTGAACCCGTTGGCTGCTGGTTTGAACCTGAGTGCGAGCCTGAAGGCCGATGCGTCAAATAAAGAGATTGAAGAGGCTATGAAGAGGGTCAGAGAGGCTCAGTCACTCATTTCTGCTGCTATTGAACCTGGACGTGAGTGCTAGAATATTTTCCTTTACTTGCCTTGGATGGTTTTTTTTTTTTTGTACAGTTAAATAAATAATGCATTATGAAACATATAAGGTGGATATGCTATGCTTCTTTCAGATAAGGAGAGCAAAAAGAAACATTCTCGGTCTCGATCCAGGTCCAGAAGAAGGAGGACGAGGTCACGTTCAAGACACAGGTATGGCTGTCATTGAGACAAATAATGTAGCTGGACCGTTTCTCTGTGTGTTGACTAGTAATTGGATTGTTTGTATCTTCAGCCGCAGGCGAACCAGGAGCAGGTCAAGACGCAGATCCAGCTCGAGGAGCAGGCGGCGTTCCAAAAGCCCACGCAGGAGACGCACCCACTCCAGAGACAGGGGCAGGCGAACTAGAAGTAGATCCAGGTGAGTTCCTAGTGGAAGAGTTTTACCTGGATCCCGCTGTGTGACATGAGCAACTTGTTGGTGAACTGTGTCATCAATTTATCAACAGAGACAGAAAGAAGGAGGATGTTAGTAGGAGGAGATCAAAAACGCCTCCTAAAAGCTACAGCACCGCCAGAAGGTCACGCAGTGCGAGCCGGTGAGTGACATCAGAACCCGCTTAGTTTATGACCATAGAACTTTGTTTGCTTGAACAAAGTGGGTGAAGATTGTTAGAAAGGAGCTTTAAGGATTATTGTACTTGATATAGAGAAGATGCATGATGGTAAATTTGATCAACATTTTAGCTTAAACAACGCAGCCCCTGCTGCCTTTACAGGCGTACAGTATAAGTAGTACCTATAGTTTCTTTATTAGCCATATTTGTTTGACAACATCTCCTCATTAAGCAGGTGTGTGCTTAGACAGAGCAAAGCTTTCTTGCAGGCTCGTCTGTTAATTGGAACATCTGTTCTTTAGCTGCCATCTGTGCTTTTCTGATTTTCACTAAAAACCCGGGAACTATGAGAATCTTCCTTTGAACTATTTTTTAACTTGAACATAAATTAATTTCCACACATAAGTCGCTTACATGTGGGGGGAGTATAAGTCACACCCCCGGCCAAACTGAAAAAAAATGCGGCTGATGGTTTGGAAAATACGTTACTCTATTCTTTGTAGAGTAATGCAAATACAACAACCTGAAATCAGCCTGGTTAGTCAGGCTATCTGCTCATAGAGCTCATGGTTGGCAATATTTAAATCTCCTTATTACTATCCTAGTTTTCTTCATTATTTAATCAGAAATGTTTCACAGCAAACAGGAAAAAAGTGTAGAAGCCGATTTTCAGCCAGCTGCCTTTCAGTGGAAAGCAACAGGAGGGCAAGGCTTTACTCACAGAGAATAATTTGATTTAAACCAAAGAATAGTTGTAACAGTTTTGAAACCATACATTTTTACAGCCTTTGTACACCTTTCCTATATTTGGGCTTATTCACTTTTTGTTTCCACAGGAGGCGCAGGAGAAGTCGCACTGCCAGCCGATCTCCAAAGAAGTCTCCTAAAAGGAGAGTTTCTCCCTCTCCTTCCCCTCGAAGGTCAGTGTACTGTGATGTTTGACAGATCTTCTTGACAGTCTACAAAAATATTGCAGTGTGGAATTTAAGGGCTCAATAATTAGGTACAAATGAAATAAGAAACTGGAAAAATGTTTTCATTTAGATTTTATTTTTCTTGTATATTTTTCATTCCATGTTTCCTTCCCTTTGTGTCTTTCTATTTCTTCTGTAGCATTTTTATACGTTCAAATCAATGTAAAGAACTGGGAACTTTAGAAAGTTGGCTACGGAGATGGTCTTTTTGCGTAAAGTTTAAAAAGTTTAATCATGTCAGGTTTCATTGTATGACCACACTGAATTTCCTTGTGGCCTGTGTTGAAGTTTTATTGGGATTTTCTCTTTACAGGCACAAGAAGGAAAAAAAGAGGGATAAGGACAGAGAGAGGGAACGCAGGAGTGATAAGGAACGTGTTCGCGAGGAACGAGAACGCTCTACTAGCAAGAAAAAGAAAAGTAAGGACAAAGAGCGGGAGCGGGAAAGAAAATCAGATGGAGACAAAGGAGATATTAAGGTTTGTTTTGTATCTGCAGAAACATTCTGAAACTATGGGAATCAGTTGTACTGTCAGCTTGCATAGAAAACATCCAGAGACCCAATCTTTTGTCTTTGTTTTTTTTTTTTTTCATACAGATCACTAGAGATTATGATGAAGAGGAACAAGGTTATGACAGCGAGAAGGAAAGGGAGGAGAGGAAGGATTCAGATGACTCTGCCATGTCTCCGCAGTCTGTGGAGGGAAACGGCTCAACCCGGCTCGTAAAGCAGGCCAAAGTTAACGGCGCTGATGATCGCCACGAAGAAGACATGGATGTCAGCGACTGAAAGCTGCTTCATCCCACTGTATCCACTTATTTTGGTTAGAAACATTCTATAAAATTTCCCCCACTTGGGTAAATCTAAAATGTGAAGTGTTTGGAAAAAAAAACCTGTTTATCGTACAGAAACAAGTCTGTCGTTTTGAAAATGTATATTGCAGCGTTGTTTGCCTAATAACTCATTTTTCATTTATCTTTTGTCAATCGTACACATTTATTCCTTGCCACCACAGATGTAATTAGTTTAAACTGGAAGTAGGTTTGCTTTACTACTATTGAGCTTGTTTTCAAATTTGTTGCTTTATGTATTGTATCTTTTTTTAGTGTCGTGGTGTATGCGTCTTTCCTTCTTCTTCACAGAACAGTTGCATCGTGCTTCTGACCTACAAGTGTTTTATCAACAATTTCTTTTATATAATAAAGCCTGTTTGAAGAGCTAAGAGTCTAGTTGTGTTTTCTTTGTCCAAAAGTATGAATGTTAGTTTACTAAATTAATGAGAAGGAATGTATTTTTGTACCTGACCAAAGCCGCCTTTAAATGATTTCAATGTTTCAAAATATCCCTTCTGTTACGTAATTGGTTTTCTAAGTAGTCTGACTGTAAACACAATTTTATATAATGCTTAATATTTAGCGTATTGTTACAGCAATAGGTCAGAATCAAACTCAGCATAGAGTTGAGTGATATTTAACACAATGTGTTTTCCATGTTAATGTAATTAATAGGATGCATCAAGCTCTGGATTCTAAGATTGTGTGAAGGTAAAATGATTTCAAATATATATTTTTTTTACTTTTGACAGGTGATTAGTAAATTTATATATATAATAAATATAATATGGTGGAACGCTTCCAATTCAGGAATTAAAAGTGCACTCCATTTTCAGGGCAGGGTTTCATTGGGTCCTTTAGCCTCAGTCACTTCTTAATATTGGCTTTGCTCAGGGTTTAAAAACTGCCAGTAACTCTTCATTTTACACATGCAACCTTTGACCCAAACAGCACCACACTGATAATTTAAATGACACCTACTTTAATTAGCTTTCACATAAGATACGTCACAGATATGCCTTTTGGTTTAAATTAGATTTATTTTGTATGGAATTACCTATTTAAACACTAGTTGGCAGTAGAATCAATGTGGGGGATTGAACTGGAGCCTCTTGTATTTGAATAGAAAAACTATTTAAAAAATAAATGAAAATGTAGCTTTTGCCTCGAGCTTATGATTTGAAAATGAAGGGAAAACATTTTAAGCACTATCTGGTGTTGCATTGTGCTTAGTTCTTGAGGGTCTTCAGTGCAAGTTTGAGTCGATGCCGCATGTTTATCACTCACTTTTTCTTAACTTCAGACTTCAAAATTGATTCCTTTACAGATCTGCATATCGCCTCCTGCATCAAGAACACTAACTCAGGAGTAATGACATTTGCACAAGTGCAGGTGAAACATGATGCTGGTGCTTTATTTAAAGGGACGTGAAGTAGGTATGGTTGTAGTACAGAAGAGCTGAAGCCAGCAACAATTTGATGGATCACATCATTTCCTCTCTCAATACTGACATCCAGTTTGATTTTCACAGCTTATTTTCCACTCCTTAAATTGATTATACACCTATATTTGGAAGAAAAAAAAAACATTATCAAACGGATTACATGTGTAACGCTAGAAGTTGTTTGAAAGTGTTAGTGTTACTTTTCACCTCCCTAATCTAAATATCCGTGTGTCTGCAAATACTATACAGTAACAAACTCTTAGATAATGTAGCATCAGGATGCATTTGATCCAGGAGGCTAACAGCCATAGCATGCCTTTAAATATCAGTGCAGTATTAAGACTACAAACTGTTTACCTGATACCCCATTCTGGGTTCTCCCACACACAAAAATATACAGAGAGGATGTTGACACAGTAGACGTATTCACTCGTACGGAGCACGACAAAACACAGAGACGGCTGAGAGGTAACATGAGCAGACCTGAAAATGCAGGAGGCCGTGTCCTGCACAGGGAAAAGGCTTTGATAACAAACTGTTTGAGGTTTTTTTTTTTAATATACTAAACCTTGTCCCAGGTGGGTAAAAACATTCTTAAGTACTGGAAATGTATTGCTACACAGTGTTACTCCATTGAGTTTATAGATATATAATATGCTATTTATAAATGACCAGTAAGCTCAGTTTAAGGGTAGCTCTATATTTGTGGGAGTTTTTTTTTTAAACGTCGTGAACAAAAATGAGAAGAATTATATACATTTCTGAAGGTGAGTGCAGCTTCGAGTATACTGAAATAGTAATGATTTGACAGCTTTAAAAATGGCGCACAGCAGCACAGAGCAGCAGCTTTACCTGCTCTGTGTATAAACAGCATGTACAACGAAAGCCATCAATCATTTCACAAAAACATTTGCAGATGTTCATCTGTAGCTGACACGGTGCTCAAATCTTGGATTAAATGATCAATAAGAGCAGCCCTCCCATTTTCTTCCCTTTGTTTTTATTTATTTTTTTTTTAATAATAGTAATAAATAGTTAATATGGATTCAGAGTCAGACCAGCGTCCTGTGTTCTGCTCTCACTCTCCCAAGCTGGACGCGTTGACAGGTCAGAGGTCCGGAAAGCGGCTTGGATCTTCCTTGTATTCGGCAGGGATGAAGAAAATAGATTCGTCAAACTTGTCGTAGCGGAACTCCTGAAAGGTGACAGTCGCTGTGATCGTGGGGAAGACGGGGATGTCTGCGAGACAAGGGAAAGAAAACGATAAAAAAAAAAAGATGTTTGTTTTTTGTTGTTGTTTTTTGTGATCTTTCCCCCTGAAGCTCGCCCACTTGCAGCCGGTGCAGAGGTAGGTCGACGTACCAAGTTTGACTGGAAACCCCGGAGGAAGTTTCATCTGAACAAACTCTCGGAGTTTGTTGAAGTGCTTGAATGGAGCAATGACTTCCAACACGTTGAGTAACCTGGAGGCAGAGCAAAAGGAATCGGCACTTGGTTTTTTTAATGCATAGACCATAAATGAACATGAAGGAGATTAAAAAAAGTTGAAAAATAATATGGAGGAAAAGATAGTTCTAAGCAGTGTTATTCTGAAATTTCTAAACAAGATTTTGACTCAAATTTAACCGAGAATGGACCGGAAAGAGGCGGGATAGGAACAATAGCAGCAAAGAGCTGATGGCCATTTTTTGTGGTTAGCTTTCAGAGAGGGGAGAATGCAGAAAAAAATCTTGTGGGATCAACTTTTCCATTTATACAGAACTGAACTTTCAAAGAACAGTCACCTTTTTAAAAAAAATGCAATGATTAGGAAGCTCTACAAAACCTAGGAATATTTAAGTATGTGCATCTGGAGCAAAAGCAAAATCTGTCTAAAAACATTTTGCTTTTATGCCAGACGGTGACTGATAATCACAGTGCATAATGCGAATCAAGCCATTTGCTGGCATAAGGTGCAAGAGCCAGTATAAATAGTCAACTACTAATTACTTCCACTTAGTTTTGTAATACAAGTTAAACCAACAACTGCTGTGTCAAGCACATTTTACTATAAATACTTAACATTCGCTCACTCCAAAAAAGCTAGAAAACAAAGAGGAATGTTAATTGGTTAAAATCTGTCCCTTGAAAATGCTAACTAGTATATCTTAATTATCGAATCATTAAAGATCTCAAATGAAAAAAAACAAACAAAAAACATTAGTGACTTCACAATAATGTACTGATTTCTCTTGTGCGCTCATAAAATTAAGGTTTGCGGCTCTTCTGTGACAAAATGTAAAAATATGGCCTAAAAAATAGACCATTTTACTTACATAGTGTTAAGCTGGGGAAGGAAAACTTACAAAGAACCACAAGGACTGAGACTTCAGATAATATCTGCTATAAAAAAGTCATTTTTCTCCAACCGCAGCACTGATGATTTTTTTTTTCCATTAAACACAACATTATAAAAGTAGTAAATATATTTTCAACAAAACAAAGCAGAAAATGTGAAGAGGAAAAATTACATCAAAAAGCCATTAACTGTGATAAAGAATGAGGTTTTAATGTTCTCCCCATTAAGGTTCACTCAGCAGAGGAGATAAAGCAATTTCCTTACGTAACACAGCCTGCTTTAATCTTACATCATCATTTACTCATCTTAACACTCATGTATCTTTTAAACTCTGCTTTCCACAAATCTACTTTACTTGTTCTCCATGACCGATTTACAGATTATAAGTCGACGAGAACATTATTTTAGTTGAAAACGACATAAATTTGTAGTTTGAGGATACAATATATTTTAGCTTTTAGTGTTTTACACCAAATAAAAGTACAGTAACGTACATGGTGCTAGTGTGAGAGTTAAAGTGCAGCTCCTCTAAAAGACAAACTTCAACACTAACTGGAGGTAATAACATGATAAATCTGTCTCTATGTTTTAGCAGACATTTTAGAATCTAGGATAGACTTCCTAGAACTTATGTTCTAGGAAGTCTAGTTTTTCAAGAATTAATTTTATTGAGTATAAAATAATAGTTCACTGGAAAATTTACTTCAAAAGTTGGAAGTTGTAGGCAGCCGCTCAACTTCTTATAGATATCTAACACAAAGTGTGGCAGAAACAGAAGAAGTCATTGTTATTTTTTTCTTAAATTTGTCTTCTGTTCATTAAGGTTTTTTTTTATTCCTTCTTGTTGCTTCTGTGGAGTTTTTGATCAGCGCTTATCGCGTGTAACAAGTGAAACCTTTCATGTTCTTATTGTCTGAATTATTTTATCTATACTCAACGCTTTTCTAAAACCCCAGGAGTATTCTGTGGATCAAGCAGCGCTGAAAGCTCTGCAGAGAGATCTGAGGCGGATGGGATGTACTTACGACTCGATGCCAAGAGGAAAATCCTGGCTCATGGCTACAGTAGCTTTGAAGTTCTTCTTGCTTTCCTTGCACACAAGCTCTCGGCCGAGGTGAGGCGGCCTGAAGGTGAGCGGAGACGCACAGCAGATGAAGATGCATTACGAACTCAGCACTTACAGATTCGCTTGTGGCTGCTCTGAATAATCAGGCAAATTACAGCAAAGACTGATGAAACCATAGAAACGTACTTTCCATGCTCTGCCGTTATGTACTCTTCCCAAGAAATGGTGTTGTGGGCCGGCGCTGTGAGCGACTCCCTCCTCGCAGGCTGCAGGCAGGAAAACATCAGTCAGGGGAATAATCGTCGCTCTACAGTGATACAACTATTAACTGCTGGTGAATAAACAGAGCACTGAAATTAAGATTTGTTGTTTTTTACCTCAAAATTCTGCTCGCTGATGCTGCCTCCCTTACTCAGACTTTCCATGATGGCTTTATTCCTCATGATGTCTTCTTCGCTTAAATGCTCCCGCCGTTTCCTCGACTCCAGCACCAGACCGTTGACAGCGTAGAAGTCGGCCAGGAAGTTTCCAACCCTTTCCT